GGAAAATATGCGCTCCGGTTCAAGTGTCCAATCGCAGACTTAAGTATTTAAATATGTGTTCAAAATGTCTTATCCTGTTAAACTTTGCGTGCGGGGATGCCACCCGTTGGGTGTGGTCCCTTTTAAACCTAGACTAAAAAAAATTTAAACCTATTCGTACCTCAAGTCGAAAGAGTAGTAATATAAAATATAGAATAGTTAGTAATATAAATAGTAGAAAGATAGTATAACTAATAATTGAAAGGGGGAAAAAGATCTTTTTACATATTTACATTTATCTTATTTCTTATCGTAGTCATTCAACTATTATCTCATTAAGGTTTAAGTAATAATTATCATATCACTTTAGATGAGAAATTAAAAAAAAAAATAGTTAATATCAGCTTTCATTAGAGTTATAGAAATTTTGAATAGTGGGGTTTTATTCTCTAAGAGAATTTTGACTAAGTTAGTGATTTCTTCCTGTAAGTATTGGACATTGTTGCAAATATTTTTAATTTCCACCTTTTGATTTACTCCTTTCAACCGCTGAACGTGGGTAGTTCGTCCCGGTTTCAAATCCCGGCGAACGAGCTGGCTGGACAGTCGGTTTCGTGATTTTCTCCATGTAGGCGTAAGCCGGTTTCCCTTAAAAATTCTTTCAGGAGTCATATCTCTCCTTTGGCAAACTGCCGTAATGTGATTTCCCATAATTTATTAAATCTGAATTTTTTTTAAAAATTCGACTATATGTTGGCTTTTCAAATGTTTATCGCCCCCTTTTAAGGACAACTGAAACAAAAATCACAGGCCTTTTTCATTTTAGACACATTTAAAGTAAGATTACTTCTCCCATGCTTCGTTCTCATGTGTATGTTCGGAAATTATTTCTATCGTATATGTCTAAAACTGGCAGAAACCTTATACCTCATTCATTGGTTAGCAAACAAGAAAAAAATGAAATCTCGTTGATTTGGTCAGTCATTCTGCGGTCGCTCACGTGAAGCGCTTCAACTTAGAGTACAAAGGGTTAATGGGGCTCATACACCTTCAAACCTATAAGATCTTCGAATATGTGACTGTTGCAAGAATTGATAACTTATTTATTTTTAAAGAAATTACTTCCAAATTTTTACAGCTGACAACATAATATAGCTGCTTTGAATAGTAATCTGAAAGTTTGTGTTGCCACAAATATTTTTATAATTTAATCAGTTTTGTACAAATTTTCGTCAAGTTTCCAACTTGCGCGCACAGTTTTTAAAACATTCTGTTGTATAATTTAATTCATATTAATTATAGCTTTTATAACATTTGGAAACTACTGTGAACCTAAAATTCTAAGAATTTCATGTTAAATTTTATTTTATTTTGGAGTGAGTTTATAAAATGTATTTTATAAAAAAATCTGTAATGCTTTTGGGCATAATTTTTTTAATACTACAATATTCATCAATTTTTCGGTTCAGTTAGAAAATAGTGCCCATATAAAGACTTCATTGAATTTCAAGTATGTACCATTAGCCATTTTTAAATATGCGCGCAAGGTGGAACATGACGAAAATTTTGTCACAAAGCGGATTAAATTACAAATATTTGTGGCAACACAAACTTTCTGGTACTAGTTTCTAAAGCGCTATATTATGTAGTCAGCTGTTAAAAGTTGGAAGTAATTGCTTTTAAAATAAATGAATTATCCCAATTCTTGCAACAGTCACATATTCGAAGATCACAAGGGGTTTAAGGTGTATGAGCCCCCTTAAACATATATAAATTTAGACAAAGGTTTTACTTTTCCTAATCAGTTACTATACTTTTGTGGCTACTGAATTTCTTATGAATTAACCGTTTTCATTTGAAGCCTTAATTCTCCTTCTGAAATCAATCTAAATTGCGATTTAAAAAATGTTCCCATTTTCATGATTATTTCATGATAAAGAAAAAAATTGTCTTTCTGATACATGAAGCAAAGCACTGCTTATACGGCTTTCAACGAACTCCTAAAGAAAAAAAAACTATAATACATCTTTCAAGGAACCGCTAAAGAAAGGGAAGTACTATTGTAAAAGACGTTTAATCGAGATTTTATATTAGGAATGCGACAGAATTTTAATACTAAAACAATATTGTTACCTTACTACAGTCATGTGCAAAATTAAGAGACTTTGCAAATTATTTCTATTTTTACGAAAAATATTAAGCCAAGGGTACTAATTTATGCCGCAGAAGAATTATACACATATTCAGAGTCGAATACGTAAATGTACACGTACATGACTGCGAAGCTGTGATTGTGGAGAGAATATAAGTGCACGAGGGGTTTTCGACGATTTCTGCGCCTGTAACTCCTTCAAGACATTCGCCGTGTTTCTCACAAGAGTTGGGTACATTTTATGAGGTACCAGGTAAAATGAATTTCCCCGAACTTATACGTGACTGAATGAGATGAAGAACTGCCAGTACATTGGAGGCAGGCCAATTAATTACAAGCAGGCGGCTACAGAACTAAATGTAACGCCCGCTGTCGTCTGCAATTTGATGAAACGGTTTCAGGATACTGGATCCATACCAAGAACCCCTGGATAAGGTCTATTAAGATCCACAGCGAGGAATCAGGATTGCTGTTTTGCCCTTTCAGCGGGGCGAGACAAAACTGCTACCGCTTCACAGCTCACACGTGAGTTGTATGTTGTATGCCACTGGAACCCGAGTTTCACGGTTCAACAGTTGCCCGAAGGCTTAGTGAGATAGGGCTATGTACCAGAAATCTTCTGTTTGCATCCTGCTCACTGCAGCATACAAGACTGGTGCGGAAAACATGCGCCTTGATCCAGACTTCTGTGGAGCAACGTGCGTTTATAGATGAGTCGAGGTTCAGCTTGAACACTGATTCTCTGAGTACCTGTATCTGTAGACAGCCTGCAACACGATAGTATTCCTACCTCATCACGGAAAGGGATCATTACAGTGGTGGGGGTATAAAAGTGTGGGCAAGCGTTATGTTGGACGGCCGCGCACCCCTGCATGTGTTTGACAAATGCTCTCTGATAGCTGTGAGGTACAGAGAGGAGATCTTAGAGCCATAAAGTTCGAATTTTCAGGGGTGCAGTTGATCCTGGGTTCCTGTTAATGGACGATAACGGTCTTCCACATAGAGCTCAGCTGATCGGCGATTACCTGGAAAATCATAATTTTCTCCGCATGGATTGGCCAACGAAGATGGATTGGATCTCCTGACCTTAACTCTGGTAGAGCAAGTCTGAAATGCTCTTAGCAGCGCAATTTTATCTCGCCATTCCCCTCCGAGAACCATCCCGGTCTTGAAAACTGCCTTGCTGTAGGAGTGAGATCGAGTACCACAGGGACTCCTTGATTGCCTCCTATCCAGTATGCCATCACGTTGCGCGACCTGTCTGGGCTGTGATAGGAAACCATATCCAATACTAAACTCATTTTCTGTTCGATAACACAATGTGAATTTTGTACATCCTAGCATTATGAGATTAACTGATAATCATATGTACATAGAATGATTTCGAATGTACGTCTCTTTCTCTGTTATAAACACATATTCATGCTGAACTTCATCAAAACCTGTCCATTAGTTTTCAGAAATTCGACATAATGTGCAAATTCTTTTAATTTTGCTCACTAGTGTATTATACAAATTTAATTTTATTATCTTGTTTTTGGTTTGTTTAAAATACTTATTATATTTTTAAAAAATTAAAATATATCATTTTTAAAATCATAAGAATTTAAGCTGGCCGATATTTAACATAAAAATGAGAATGTCAATAACTTTTTTTAATTGCATCTTAAATAAGTAATACTTTTCCAGGGAAGATTTTAACCAAGTATGCAGATTTTAACTTTTCTAATAGGATTATACCCTCAGGCTTTATTTGATATGCCGCCTATTTTGAACCTTACGCAAAACACTAAGAGTGCAAAAAGTAAACACCAGCCCAATTTAAAATATATATAAAATGATATAAGAAAGAATCATCTTCTATTAATAAGCTTATCTGTTCATTAGACATTTTTTGCCTATTCTACCCTTCCAAGCGACCCGCCTCCAATTCGTCAATCATGAAAATTGCTACCTCGTCTGATCCTATCATTGGCCTAGAGGTTAAGTCGTTCATCATTGGTATCGAATGGGCTGGCTTCATCGGTGCTTTCTCAAAATTCTCCATGAATAATGCGGATACGAACCAGTTTCTGTTAAAGTGATCTACGAAAGCATTCCACCCCTTAGGCAGATAGCACTCGTGTGCTTTGCCGTAATCTAATAAAGTAACCTACCTTGCTTAAGACTCCTAACAGTGGCCGATTGGTTAAGGCCGCTTGAATGTTGGTAGTTCAATCAGGTTTGAACCCCAGCGACCGGAATGGCTGTACGGGTGGTTTTCGTGGTTTTCCTCATGTGTAACATAAATGCAAACCGCCGATTTCCCTTAACTCTCCAAAAGCGGAATCTCTGAATAACACCTTCACTTTTCATCCTGAAATAAGCGGGGAATGTTCTTATTGCGTTGGCAGAAACTAGGATTTCCACTGCAATCAGTTTCGCAGGAAGAAAAAGTAGGATTTTTTTACGCTTTTATGACCTTTTGTACCATTTGTCAGAGGGCTGCAAAGTCTCCGCTTAGGCAGATAGACTTCGTGAGTTTTGACATATTTAGATGACCAAGCCCCAAGCCTAACCTAACACTATTCCAAGTTATCTGATGTCTTCTTTTCTCCCCTCTGGATCCCAGTATACAACATCCAGGTACTACAGAAAGAAAGAAATAACATATGAAAGAAACGTATAGTCTGTGAAAAGTCGTGTCAATGAATAAGTTAGAAGAAAATAATGTATAAAGAAATATTTTAATATTAACAGGACTAGGAATGAAATGAGACAAAAGTGAAATGAGGCAGAAATAAGAAACGTATAAAGATGCTTCACTGTAATTTGTATGTTCGTATCACGACGTTCTTTCCGAGTCAAAAGTAAATATCTTTTCCCTCAGGTTTTTTCGTGGAGAGTTCATTTCTTCCAACTGCAGATCAACTAGACAGCACAATTGGATATAAGGTTAGTTTTTCAAAACTAATTCATTCTTTAAAAAAAGGAAATAAACTGAACTGAACTTAAAGGGCTCGTTAACATGCATACAAAATACCACTCGATGATACTAACTCTAGAATTGGGAAATACGGCTGTCGGTGGCTTATTATTAACCGATTTAACTTTTCCTGCACGGTTCAGATTTTGCATTACTTTTGAGTCTATAAGAATGCGAATACAGTATCTTTCGATACGCCAGTGTAAGAAAGTGCTATGTACCAACTGCCTTTTCTTTTAATTCTTTAACTTCTTAATATTAAAGGACAAGGGTGTCCTGACATGGCAGGCAAATCTTTAAAGAAGAAATGGCAATTCACAGTTTATCTAACGATGTTGTTATTTTATAATATTGATAAAAAAATTATTTAATATGCAAAATAATCATTTTTAGAACATCTCCATGTCTCTCTCTTTTTTTTTTTTAAATTTATGTAGAAAATTTTGCGTCTCAAGTGTCACAGATTAGTAAATTTGCACCATAAAAATGCAGAAAGCTACTAATATGGTCTAGGAAAAGCTCAAAACATTCCCTTAAACAAGAAACTTATTAACGAAAGGATTCTTCAAAAAGTGTTAAGAAGCCGGTATCATTGGGATTTTTGTATTCATGCAAACGAGCCATAAAAATAATTTTCGTGCGAATATTATTTATAATGACTTTTACTTTGCTACTTAAGTCATAAGAACTATCTTTTTAATTCTGGAATCAACGGACTCTTATTACTGATTATGGTCATGAGGCACAAGACTAGGGTCCAGATTTTGGCAGAACTGCCAAATAAACTTATAGTACTTCCATGGCGGTTTTTTTTTTTTTCCTTAGAAAGGAAGAAAAGTAGACGTTAGAAACCGCTAAAAGAATACTACGCTACTCCGAGAATCGTTTTAATAGGGTTTTGGGGGTTTGCAGACTTTTTTAATTTGTCTTTTGTAGTACCTTCGCTTTGCGTGATACCCAAAATAGTTTCTAAATTTTAAATCCGGTTACTAACTTTTTCCAGAATGTAAATAAATTCTTGCTTATGACTATTTAAAACAGCAGTTTTTTTTCCTAGCCTTAAAGGAAAATATCGAAAGTAAGAGATATATCTATTCAGAAAAAATGTATTGTTCGAATTATTGTTTTAAGCGAAGTATCCTTGCTTACGAGGAGATGCATTTTTACATGAAAAATATTGTGAATCTGTATTAGTTTAGTTTTAAAATATATATTTAACCTTGAAAACCAGTATAGTTAATGGTTAGTTACCAGTTAGTATAATGGATGGCTAGCTAAATGAAATATCAATATATTAAATTTGGTACTTTAAATTTGCTTTGTTAAAATTAAATTTTTTGCTACTTCATTACATGCTATTAAGTACTTTTTTTTTAATTAAATATGTATTTTGAATCTGACGATTGAAACTGAAAAAGTAAACGCATTACGCATTATCTTGAAAGAATATGATACTTTAAGAAACCTTTATTTATGACTATTTTTATGTTTTAACAATAGGTTAATTATTTTTTTTTAAAGTATAGAAAGTATAGTATCAAGTATCTCTATACTTAAGGGATCCAGAAAAAAAGTGCGAGTCGCTTATGTACCTTAAATTACTTTTATGTGTAGTTTGCATCATTATTAAAACACTTCTTACATTAGTCATCAAGTTTTGCTTTACATGTAAATTATGCACCTGTGATCGAAATCAATTGTAAACGACTTTTTTTAACATCGGCGTCGTCGGAAAAAAACACGGCTTAAAAAAAACATTTTAAATTAATGAAAGGTAAAAGTCATTTAGCTGTGAGTACATGAAAGCTGATCAAGTAATTCTTATAGAAATGTCTTCAGTTCTTATTGTTGCATTACTCATAGCATTTTTGTTATTACACTTCGTAAAGGCGATGATTAATGGCTAATACTTTCACACCCTTTAACATTCACAGTCGGATAAGACACTGCATTTAGCAGAAATAAGCCGCTCGTTTATCTTAAACTATTTGAAAATGCAAAATAATATCTCAGCATCATCTGATTTTTTCCAAATGACACCTTTAGCTTGCCAATAGCAAAAGAAATTCACCTTACATGGTACAATTGTAACTGAAATTTACAGAACGACTGTTTCCTGCATCACAGTAACTTAAAAGCATTCTTGAAAGGAGCTTACTTACTGGATATCCCTCTTATTCGAAGAAAGTTTACTTTGTTATACTGCCTAGAATTCAGAGAAGTTTAGAAATTCACTCTCTTTTTGCATGACTTTTTAGAAATATTATGTTTGATGTGAGGTGAGAGGTGGGTAACTGCGGCAGCACTTGTCACGGTGCCACCATGCCGCACCTACACTATACATTTAGAAACATCCATGCCTTCGCCGAGATTCGAGCCCGGGCACTTCGGCACGGCAGTCAGCAACGCTAACCATTATACCGGTTAACTCCACTCTTTTTCTCAGTAAAAGTACACAACGCGTAAGTTTCCATTTTCGGTTTTCAAGAGGTAAGCTTAGTAAAAATAAAATGTGTAAATATGCGAGTAAAGGTTATATTAAGCATTTTTACCTAATAAAGAAACGATGTGCGCTTTTGAATATGTAGCTTACAAATTTTTAAGTAAAGAGAAATGCAATATTTAGAAGAGTTTAAAATCACTGTGTTACTATACTACTATATTCTAAGTCATACATAACACTTTATAATAATTATTTCATTTTACTGGATGTAAGTAGTGGATATCATCAGAAATGCATATACCTGAAGCTTCACATAAAAGAAATAAGAGGCTAATCATACCAAGACATGAAGTGGTGCTACGTACTTCAAATTTCACCAAGGCCGAAGACATCCCTACACCCATTCCTCAATTGCAACAGAAGTCTAGGAGAAAAGGTGAGTGGCTAATAATATTGTCTTGAATTTATAAATGATTTTTTAAATGTAATCCTTTTCTTCATTAGGAAACTGGCATTCAAATTAATTCTGAATATCTTAGAGATATTTATTGGTGAGAGCTTAATATTTCTTAACAGATTTCCACCCTACCCCCCACCCACCAAAAATAGTTTAAGTTTCTGTCACTTCGTCGGCTTCCAAATGGAGAAAAAATGAATGAACCGTTATTGGTTTGCATACTTAAAAAAGAGGGGATGCTATGCATTGCTTTTGTGACCGTCAAAATAGACCATGACAAAGTAGCCATGAAAAAATAGTTCTAAAAATAAAGGGAAAAAAATTCTATACTTTTCTTAAATAAAAATAAGACTTATAAAACAGTAAAAACAACAAAATCAGTTTTTAATGACACTCATATTTCAAGATTTTTGCTCTTCTTAGATACTTTTTTTGCTCAAAAAGTATAAATCTTCTCTGAATTATATAACAATTATAATTTTCGATATAAACCAGGGGATACCAAACTTTTGTATGTAGCAGTAACCTGTATATGGAATTATTACTACAGCAGCCTAATTATCAAGTGGCTGTAAAACATTTTTCAATGCGTACAACATCAAATTTGAACATGCGCATTTTTTAAACACATTTGCGTCCAATATGTTGTAGTCATTAGGTTTTTCTGAAAAAAGGAGACATGAAAAAAGTGCAAAGCCCTCACCGGGACTCGAAACCTGGACCTCTCGAATACGCGTCGAGCATGCTTCTAATTACACAACGAAGGCACGCGGAAAAGAGGGAAAAATTACCTTATAATGTAATTACGGATTTTAAATACGCCCTGGAACTCTTTTATATCACCTGCATGTAATTATGTACTAAAAATATGAAAAACCTTTTGCGGGACCCAGTTCAGAAGCTTGTGTTTCAGACTATTTTGTCACTAACTATATTTAATATAATAACTTAACTATATTTATATATGTTTTATACTATTTTGTCACTAACTCTTTTGTCATGGGCTGTTTTGTCGGGGCAATTTTAACTTGGGCTATTTTGGCGGAGTACTTTTCTTACAAATAGTTCAGTTCTAATTGTATCTACTTTGTGAAAACAGAGCTGTTCTACAAAGCTTGGAAAGAGACGAGCAGAGCTTTGTACTCTCTTTCCAAGCGCTACAGAGTTTCGTAATTTCAAGAGTAGAGTTCTATACTCCTCTTTCGTAAAACTTTGTACCTAGCTAGTTGTTATACAAAGCTTGGAAAGGGCTCTATAAGCTTCTATGTAATTTATTGTCTCGAGATTACACAAGTCGTATCTTCGAACAAAAATGATTGTCTCTAAAAGTCTAAAATTAAAAACAAATGGGTGAAGTAATATAAGGTCAAACTGAGAAGACAGTCAAATGATAGATTTAGATATACTTTATACTTGTTTCTGACATTTTCATTTGAACAGAATGAAATCTTCTTTAAAAATTAAGAAAAGTTAGTAAAGATATCAAGAAAAGCTAGAAAAACCAAACATTGGAAACTTCCTAGGACAAGTTGTAGTCAACTCCATATAAGAGTATCCTTGCTGAACGAACATGCTCAGAGAGTTACGAAATCAGAAAGAGTAGTTATGTACTTAAGCAAAGACTTTCAAAATGAAATTATTTCAATGATTTCTTATGAAAAAAAAATAGCGTACTGTTAAAAAAATATTATTAAAAACAATATTATTCAATAGGTCTAAAATTGCATGCCGGACGTAAATCACAAAGAATACCTAAATTCTAAGACAGCATGTTCTAGATTTATCCTTAAGGAGTATTTTTTTTCGATTAGATGCCACACGTTTTGAATAAAAGTCTCACTAAATGATTGCTCGATTTATTATCTACCTCGAGACATCTTTTTCAGATTTCCGGGGACAATGACACGATTAGAGAAACAACATGAAAAGCAGAAAAAAGGGAAACTGAATGATTTATTTTTCTCTATTAAAAAAAACAAAACCCTGTCTTTTTCCTGTTTATAGCAGGAATTTAGTTTAAAATTACGCAAAAAAAAAAAAAAAAAAAATAACCTTGTATTTCGCGTTGCTTTAATTGAAACCCTATCGATATCGAGGTCCAATAGGTACTTCGTTTCAGGAGCAATTACTCCTGATGATAAGCATACTTTTCACCTATCTTTCGAAGCACTTGGAAAGAATACGATAAAATGACTGTGGAAATATTACAAATCTCCTAAAGAACCAGCAAGACCAACCAAGGCAATCCCAAATACTGTCCCCTTTATTAATGATTATTAATTTAATGTTTTTCTAAGCGCTGATGCAAATAATATGGAAACTGATGTTCAGGCTAATTAAGAAATCTATGAGCCAGCTACATACACTGCTAATTCACATCGAGTCAGATCCATTATGTTTAAACCCAGTGTTGAATTTCATTCAATTCCTTAGTGCTCAAACCACATGTAATTTTAACACGCTATTATCAGCGAAAGACATTCCTTAAGGTGTCTCCTAGTAATAAGGCAGCACATCTCTGTATTTAAGATTATCTTATGACGAATGGCGTAGAACATTATGTAGCCTATGCAGAGAATGATAAACCAGTTAAGGTAATAATTGACTAGCTCTCTAGGTATTCTCCAGTTAACAAAATTGAAAACGAATTCTTTAGTAGAGGCTTCCATGTGAAAAAGTTTACTCAAATAAACAAACTTATCACACGCGTTTGGCTTCGTCTATTCCAGTTACAATTGATTGAGGAATCTAGAACTGAGAGAGAATTTACGAAATTACAAAATTCATTCATTTTTCTATTACTATTGGTAAGCTTCAAAGCTTATGCGATAACAGTAATATTAGAAATATTTGTGATTTCAAAACGTTATTAAGGAACTAAAGGAAATGTTCAGAATTCTCTCTGTTGGACGTTATTAAGAAAATTTCTAGACGTATCGCCTAAATTAAAGCTGTTTAAATTTCTAAATTTTATTGGCAAACTTTTTATTTTATTTTTAATTTCTCATTCTTTGAAGATATCCTTACCCTAAAACAAAATTAACTTCTATTTACTATAATTTATCTAATTAAATGTATATAAATTATTGAAGCTTAGTCCCATAATGATATGTATATTAAATTATGTGTACCTCACGGTGCTGATAAATGTAGTTTATTTATTTTTACTGTTCCGGCAGCTCTAAATTGTCCCGCTTGTATTATTCATGTATTTTTAAGCTGTTCGTAATTTAATTCAAATACTTGGCGATCTAGCAAAGAATTTATTTGTGCTAACGCTTATTGGGCATCAATTCTGTGAAGTTTATGAATCAATGACTTATTCACAATATAGAGTGTGTTATGTTACATATTCACTTGAACTTTTACTGAAGAACACTTGTTTTCATGCATTTCGCCTCCTGTGATTCATATGTGCCGGGCATCACTAATTATCAACGTGTACTGGACTTTTAACTTATGCTTACATCTAGACTCTCCACGATGGACACTTTCTAAGGGCAAGTTGTAAGAGAGGTTTTAAATCGTAAATTGCCTTACATGAACCTTTTATAATCCTTACATGAACTGCTATTTTGGATAGTTATCCTGATCAGAGCCGAATTAAGACTTCTAGAGGCCCAGAACATTTAAAAGATTTTAGTACCCTCACGTACGTTCTAACCAGTTTTTTCCTTCATACCTTTTCTCTGATGATTTTTGTTTAGTTGCACTATGCATCCTATGGTAAAAGCGTCAAAGGGAAATTTTTTATGTCCCCTTTCCTGAATACCTAGGGACATTTTTGCGGTGTTCCTTTTCTTTGTTGCCCTAAGCCCGTGTTTATATTACTTACTGGTTTGTCCTGTCCATGATTCCTAGTAATCAATGTTTGCTTTTGTCACCAGTTCTCGATAGCTTTTATTCTTACAAATCCTGTTAGTCTATTACGAAAACTCTTCTTCTCATGTGTTATGGACTTCTTGTGAACGTTATATAAAACTGCCATTCGCAACACTGACGTAATTTATTGATCGATGTAGGACCTCGTCTCCAGGAAATCCTCGCCTATATGCGTCAGAACATTTTTCTCATTATTTGTCTTCATATCAGTGTTTCACGAAATGTTCCATGATAGATGTATGATTTGCTTCGAGAATACAATATCTGAACATTTAAACATTTCTAAATTTCAGTAAATAGTAAATAAAATGTATTTCTTATTTTCGTTTTATAGGTAACAGGAATTCGAAAAGGAGAGGGAGTATCTCTGGTAAAGAAGATGCAATAAAGTCTCACAAATTGTTCACAGGGGCTGATAGAAAATTGAAGAAGCAAAGCAAAGCGCGGAAAAACAATCCCGTAATTAGAATTTTATAAACGAAATATTTCATTTCTGTGTAAAATTTTAATGTTATATTCAGTTAAAAAAAGATTATTAATTTTCCTTTATTAAAAGAGTTCTGGTAGCAAATTTGTACAAAACTCTCATTTAATAACTTAACAATAAAATGACAAATAATGCACTGTCTTATAATAATTATTAGTACAATATTTAATGATAATAAGCAAGGTCTGACAATTAAATAATGAGTCTGAATTTATGACAGATAAGATAAAAGAATCATTGAAGAAGCGATTCATGGTCATTCAAATCGCCAACTTTCATCTACAGAGTGATTCGCTACCATTGCGATAAATTTGAAGGAGATGTAGAGGGCAAAATGACGGTTTGAAAGCACATAAAATTTCAGGGTCGAAAATGCATTCAAGAGGCAGTAGAATGAACTCTTACTGAAGAACACTTGTTTTTATGCGTTTCGCCTCCTGTGATTCCTACGTGCCGGGCATTAATAATTAACAATTAACTTTATTTAACTTTTAACTTTGTTTTTTAAACTTATTTGGACATTAAACTTATTATGCTTACATCTAGACTATCCACGATGGACACTTTCTTTGTGAAAATTGTAAGAGAGGTTTTAAATCGTAAAATGCCTTATGATGTACCCTTACATGAATTGCTATTTTGGATACTTATCAGAGTCGAATTAAGATTTCTAGAGGCCCTGAACATTTAAAAGATTTTGGGAGACATGCATCTCGCATATGAAGCTGAGTACGCTAACGGACGTGGCACTCTACACTTACACCAGAAACGTTTCGCGCACTGGCGTGATCCACATCATACGATCTTCGTACGTCTGCATAGAAGGTTGCTTGAGACGTTGTTTCATGAGATCTACCATGAATCGAGAGCGAACAAGGAAGACGCCAGATAGTGAGGAGAATTTCCTATATCTGACAGAAGGCAATCCGAATACAAGTACTCGAGCAATAGCCCAAAGATTGGGTTTGTCCAAATCCATTGTATGAAGGATACTGTCAGGAAACCAAATGTGCTAGTACCATCTTTGCGCATGTGTTTTCTCCGTATTGTTCACGGATGAGGCATTTTTCACAAGAAAGGGAGCCTTCAATCAACATAATGCCCATTTTTGGGCTTTGAATAAGACCCGTGGTATACGAATACGTACAGCTCAAAGCCGTTTCTCTTCTTAGACCGTACCTTCTACCCCTTCGTATGGACAGTAAAACATACTTGATCTTCCTACGTGAAGTCCTGCCCGAACTTAATGAAGAAGCATGTGTTCCTCGGTCGTTGCGTCGTTCAGTGTGGTGCTACCATGATGGAGCTCTCCCACACTAATACAATGACGTCCTAAGCGTTACATTTGGACAGCATTGGGTAGGTCAAGGTGCTCCGATTCATTGGCTTGCTATATCGTCGGGCCTATCATGCCTGAACTTCTTCTGGAGTCAGATGAAGGCATTTGTGTACGAGGTCCCCGTTGATTCAGTTAAAGACTTCCTCGCTCACATCTTTGACACACCAGAGGATAAGAGACACACCAGGACTCTTCCAGAACATTAGGAATTCCATGCGGCGCCCCTGTGAAGCCTGTGTGACTGCTTCTGGACGTCATTTAGAACACCTTCTGTATTACTTAGATTTTTGCCAAAGTAAAACTTGTAATAAAATAAAGTCTGTTACCCTAAAATGTTGCTGTTTCTGTTCTTTTATATTGCTTCTTTTAACGCAGCTCGGGTTGAAGGCATTTCGGACTTTACAGTGCTATGTGATTCCGAGCCATCTTTATGTATCTTACATCTCCTGTAAGTTTGTCGCACCGGCAGCGAATCCTCTTGTATAGTACGGTAATATGCTTTTGACACCCACCCAGTATGATGGAAAATATGAAAACATTTCGTTTAGCTAGTGAAAGAACGTTGTTGAGTCAGCAGGGAACAAAAGGTGAACATTAAATTTTATTTTCAATTCTGAAAAAATGTTATTGAGGAAGTTCATTTTATGAGGCAAATGTATGGATATAATTATTTATGCTGTGCACAGATATTCAGATAGCAGGCAGCATTTCAAAGTGCAGATTTAACGCTGCTTAGTCTAGACTGTATTAGATAGTCCCACTTATTGGTTAGATGTAAAAAGGATGTACTTTGAATACAAAATAAGTTACATTCTTGTTTTTCATTTATTTTTTAATTTTTTAACTTCATTCTCATTATTTAATTATCAAGTTATATAAAAATATAAGTAAAAATAAAGCATGCTATAAATATGAAAAATGGCTAAAATTGTTATACATTATTTCCAAATCTAAACAGAATCGTTAAAAAAACATATTTTTAGAGGAGATAATTTAAAATAAATTAGGTTGGGAAAGAAAAGATTTAAAGCCGGATTAAAGCTAGATTTAACGGAAACTATTCACCCTTACCATAATGATTCAAAAACGTCCAGCAAAGAAAAGGTGTGGTGAAGAAAACTTCTAGCTTTCAAACAGTGAAATTATTTGTTAAGTTTACAACACTCCTTGTAAGTCACGAATGTACGATGCCCTAATTTGTACAAAACTGCACTGTTGCTTTCATTTTCTGGGTCACCATCATTCAGGACATTAACATACAAACATTCACGATGATCTAAATCGGGGGGGGGGGAACACTTTACTACTAAGGTGCAATAAAAATTTAGAAACCATCGAAGGTTCATCTAATTAAATAAAATAATCAAATTATAAATTTTATTTTTTAATCACAGTGCTGTAATATTAAACAAATATGCAATAATTATGTTTTGAAATAGGTACATTTTGTACAAAGTAAAGATTATACATGCAAGTTAATAACTAAAAGAGCATACTTAAAAATATGAGCATAATACAATAAGTATTTTGAGACGCTAGTAGCGAGTTGCGCATCTAAAATGTGCCACAAGCGTCGCGTTGCCGACACCTGATGTAAGCTGGTGACCATTGATCTGATATTATGCGTATCGTTCGGAGCCATAATTTTATTTCGCATTTCTTTAATTTTAATTCCATGCAGCTATAACAAAAATTAGAAGGAATTTCAATTTTTTTTTGGTCTTTTAATTATCAATTCTGTGCATGAAACACTAATCGAATATGACTGAGTAATTTTTTGGCAGAGACCATATATTGTGATACATATTGTTACGAATTTTGTACACAGATATATAATTTTAGTGAAGTTATTGCATTTTTCTGTGTACTGTAACATGAAAAGCTTGAGAGAAATGATGCTTTGTCGAAAAAATAAGAATATAGTGGTACGTCTATTTAACATTGAGTAATCAGCTATCTCGCTAATTTGGCCAGATATCGCCAAGCTAGAAACGGTTTTGGCGACTAATTTTTGTCTCCGAATTTGACGACAAATCGCCAAAAATCGCTAAACTTGACGACCATTTCGCGATATTTTGGTTCGGTCCCTGTATAACTGTAATTAATTTCTATATTAGCTGTAATATCCGGCTCTCATATGCCTTCCAGTAATTCGAGAAGAAGAAAGTACTAGAGGTTTCTTGGCGACCGGGAGTTAAAACTATATAAGACCGGAGAGAAGCGATCAGTTTCTCAGTTGTTAGTTCAGGACTGAGGTCGGAGTATTGAGATACTCGAAAGAGCTTCTCCTTTTAGATGCGTTTTGCCCTGCCTCGTGTTTAACGCTCTTAGTAATTTGAAGGGTAATTATTGATTATACTCTATAATACTGTGAAGAAATGTAAGAGTATTTTTGTGGAAAGTTCCAGAACTTTGAATGGCTCCTTTTGGTAAAATAAATTTTATCAAGCTATCATCAATTTTGAGTGCATTCAATCTGTTACGAACCCATACGCACGCAACAATATGCTTCACTCTGTTTGAGAGCACTTAACGGTTGGAAGAAAGTAAATGAGGTTACCCCAGTATTATTTTTAACAGCTTCAGTTTTACTAAAATTAGAATATTTTCTTTGAAAGCCTTTTAATTTTGGGGTAAACTATTCATTGTAGAGACCATGGTATGGGTTAGCACATTTTGATAGCCTCTTAATTTTGAAATATCCATTATTCAACTTAGTAATTCCCATCATATTCATAGATTCCATAATTTAAAAAAGAATTTATGCATTACAAAGACTTAATTTTGCTGTTTTTATTGACAACTTAATTCCTCCAAATGGATTTAATTTTATTTTTAGGATGTAGCGGCATTTTTCTGCAATACATCTCTTCCTTGATTTTTTTTCCTCCATAAATTCAGTTCATAGTTGGATTTTAGAAGCACTCTTATTATCAACAGGCCAAATATAAACCGTCTCCACCGAAATCCTTACCTGTATTTTCACATTGATCATAAACATGTACTTAAAATTGCAAGAAATTTTTTAAATGACAGAAATCTTCTTGTTTTGGAAATTTGAATTTAAAAAAAAAAAATCAGTTTTGTAGAAATTATGAAATCCAATTTTTTACGTTTTTCCGGTCTCCATGATTAGGCAAGTTTATACAGCCCGTAAAATATAAAATACAAAAAGCGTCAATCCATACGACAAAAGTTGACCGAGATACAGTGTACTCTTGATTATCCGAGCTAATGCCGCGGAAGCAGGTCACGGATAATTAAAAAACACGGATAATTCAAACTATTAATTTCAATGCATATTGTATGTTTGTTTCTTTAAACAAATCAGTAATTTTACTTTATTTTTGAAAACGTTTAAATATTTGTCAAATATCACAGCGCAGTTTTTGAAGTGATATTTTACGATTGTATTCGAATCCGCTTTGGTCGACGAAGTCCAATGGAGTTTCAACAGAAGGCCACTACTGTCTTGGCACATATGTAATCGTCAGTCTCTTCTTCACTTATATTTTCAGTATCACTCTTTGTCTCTTCTGTTCTGGCATTTGAAATGATATCCGCAGCACACAAGCAATCAAACCTCCGCTCAGAAGAATCGCCTTCAAACCATTCCTCAGTGTTTTTCCCAATCTACATTTATACACAAATACAATAAATTGGTACTAAAAAAATCACAGCGGTCAACAGAAATGATTCCTTCCACTATGTACATTCAGATTGACTTGTGTGAGGAAATCATTTAAACTAAAGGACGTAATTCAGCAGTTTTTATACTATGCTTGGACTTGCGCATTTTTGTATTTTACACACTCTATCCCATAAGTTATGTGCGCATGTGGAGACCCCACCACACAAGGATTATCCGCAAACCGGATAATCCGCATCCGGATAATCGAGAGTACCCTTTATCAGAGAATTCGTTTTAAACCTGGAATTCATATTCAGGGGCCATACACGAATTAAAGAACAAAATGTTTGCATTTATACACAAATAAAAATAAAATGTCAATTTAGAAAAAGTGGTCGGATGTTAAGAGATTACGTGACGAGCATTTCTATGCACATTGTTATAAAAAATATTGATCAATATAAACACTTTCAAAAAGGGGATCTTATTCACAGAATCTTATAGAATTCGTTTCCCAGAAAACACTAGCAGACTTCAGTTTTAGCACAACATTGCTTATAAATTTAAAAAAAAAAAAAAAAAAAAAAAAAAAAAAAACATATTTTTGACTTGACGATTTTTTTGTTTGTTTATCAGATTATGATTGCAAAGTAATAAATTTTCATGAGAATAATAACGTAGTTTGAGGGTTTGAAAAACTTAAAAATTGATTCTGCGAAAATTCTTTTACCACACAAATTGTAACGAAATTACAAGTTACGGAATGCTTGCTACACAATAGTAAGTCCCAAAAGATATCACTGAGTGGCACTAAAGGGGGAAAACAGACCCCATATTTTCATAACTTATTTATTAACTAACTTCTCAAGGCAAAGTTGAAAAAGACATCAAGTATCCAAAATTTTGAAATAGTTAAATTTTTCGTGTTTTTTTGTAATGAGTACAAACTTTTCCTAAATATAAGCACAGGGATCAGGGACCGCATGAAAACTAGATGTCATATTTTTTTCAAAATTGGTGTTTTTTAATTTAAAAAAGCAAAAACAAAAATATTCGCATCATTTAAACTATTTTGTAAGTTGTAGGGTTCCTCCCCTTTGTCTATGATGAAACAACGAAGAACCTAGTGAACTATGTAGCGACTTATTGCTGTGTTCAGAACAACTAAGACTCGAGAAGGATTAAATTACCCTTTTATTCACCCAAATAAGAATAACAGTCGGCCGCTTCTCGGGCTTACAGGAGAGCCTCTACTTCTGCTTTAACTGAGAATAAGAAACAGCAACTAAACTAAAATTAACTAAACGTGACTTAACAGAAGCTAGACACAATTATCTAACGTAGTTGGCCCTTAAATTAAACTAGCCGGTGAATATCAATAAGCACTTATAATAAGGCCGCACGTAACAGCTTCAAGAGTGATTTGGCCAGAAGGCGAATACTCGCCACTAAGGACTCCCAGCACCCTTTATCGAAGTAAGCTTAACCTGCCTTAAACATTTCTTCTAACTCATTTGCATTCAACTCGATTCTAAAACCTCATTCTGGTAGGGAGTTGTAAGTGAAAACAAGAACTGAAAGGAAAGGGTTTAAAAATTACACTGCTGGCCATCACAATTGCAACACTATGAAGGAAGGCAAATACAAAAATTATATTCATTTTATGTAAACACTATGGCATGAAGACATAATGATTAATTTTTAAGCAGTTTGGGAAGTTATAGGGGTACCAAATTAATAGAAACAGCTTCCGACCCTGGCAGCTAAAACAGCCCTTACCCGGTTAGGCATGGAGTCGAACTAGGATTGGATGACAGAAACGGGCAACTCATTTCATGCTGCTTCAAATCTATGCCACATTTCATCAACCGTGTTAGCTCGAGAGGGGTGGCGGGCCAGGTGTTCAGCAACCCATAGCCAGATGCTTTTAATGGGTGACAGATCTGGAGACGGTACATGCCAGAGCAGCAGTCGAATACCCTGTGTATCGAGGAATGTCAGAACACGAAGTGCAACATATGTTCTTGTATTATCTTGTTGGAAGATGGCGTTTGGCAGGCCTCGAACATAGAGCACAACCACTAGACGTAACATGTCAGAAATGCACCATCTGCGTTCAAATTACCGTCGATCCGAACTAGAGATTTGTGTGTCGTGTACCCAATGGCTGCCCAAACCATCACATCGGGTGCAGCGCCCCTATGCCGATATCAAATGCAAACAGGCTATGTGTGGTTCCTCCAGACACGTATACGGCCTTCAGAATACTACACGCAGAACAAGGACTCATTTCAAAAGACTACATTGTGTCCCTCCTGTATCCAGCTTTGCCGTTCGGCGTACCAGAGTCATCATCTCCCTATATGCAGCATTGTCACGGGAAGCCGAAATAATGGTTGCCGTGCTCATAGTCTACGCTGCTGCAAACGTCAAAGCACAGTACAAGCGGATATTGGGCGTGCTGCAAACATTCCCATTTCCTGACTAATGGTCCGTGATGTGGTTTTACGGTTTTCCAGGGCTGACCTCATAATATGTCTGTCCTCTGCAGCGTTGATCATAGTAGGGCATTGAGATCCTGCATGCCGTTCAGTATGACCTTCGGCAACCCATTGATTCCATATTCGCATGACGGTGGTTGGATGTCGACCAGTGCGATGGGCGATATCACGGAACGATAATCCACACTCTCGATGGGCAATGAATTCCGACATTTTCTGGTAAGCATTTCTTATTATTATTCGAGGCATAACACGATATTATGAGAAAACTGCAACCTTACAAAGCGCTTTCCGAATAAGAAATCCACTACACAACTTTTCTTTTATGCAGATCTTCAGATGTCTTGTCTCCCTCCTGCGTCCTCTAAATGCGCTGAAATACCAATCGTTTGCATGTCCCAACCTCTTCGTCCTTTCATATGATTTTGACGTTCGTCAGATCATTCCTCTCTGGTGTTGCAATTTTAATGGCCAGCAGTGTAAAATAACTGTTATAAAATTAAAACATACTTTACAAAGTATATGTCTACGACCGCGGTTGCGAAAATACAGGATGAGTAAGGACTTTTTTGAGGATGGTATAAACTGGGAAACTGCAATATACACACACACACACATATATATATATATATATTATACATTTAAGTAAGATAAGAAATGTGCAAATCAAAGCAATAACTCAAATTAGCAATAGCCCCTTAATTCTTCATTTTAATTTGATTGCATCCCCTTCTAATAATAGCAGTTGTTTATTAACTTTTTTCTGGACTGCCTTACTTCTAGATTAATCCATACCATAAATAACGAAGAATTTATGTAGCTGATTCGGAAACCTAAAGCCAAAATTTCTAGAACTGAAGCTTTACTCTTAATATTGGATAATTAAAGCAATTGCTTTGCGCATCTCGTCTTAGCTTCTTATCATAAACCGTAAAACCACATCACGGACCATTAGTCAGGAAATGGGAATGTTTGCAGCACGCCCAATATCCGCTTGTACTGTGCTTTGACGTTTGCAGCAGCGTAGACTATGAGCACGGCAACCATTATTTCGGCTTCTCTTCTTATCATAAAGCTATAAAAACGCAAGTGTTTTGAATCAAGCACGATTAGAGTACCAAGTTGTGTCCAGAAAAGTAAGTTAAAATAAAAATGAATATTCAATCTATTTCCTCTGCTAAATTTACTGTTTATTACGGATCAATATCTACGCAATCCAGAACGTTATCATAAACAATTTCTACGTTTAGGGCAGAAAGAGGAGGTAGCCAGATAATAATGATGAATTAAAAGAACTATTGCTAACTGAGAGTTAGTACTTTTCTTTCATATTTTATATCTTACATATATATATATTTATATCGTAAATTTACTCACAGAGAAACTAAACAAAGGTTGTCTATTATAAATGAACATATGACTGATTTTTGTTTTCTAAAATTAATAATTTTAAAGCCATTTAAATTTGCTAATCGTTCTAGTAAGTATATTTTAGCTGAATAAGATCCATTTCCTGTCTTTTACATATTACTCATATGTTATATAAGAAATTAAATTGAACATATAAATTCGTATTATTTAAAGAAATATGATTAGAGTACAATTATTTGAAATTTATTACTAAAATATAATTAATCTCATTCACTGTTTCAGGAATTTATCCGTCAAGGTCAATCTCCAAGGCGTCTTCGGCAACATATGCAGCATAAAAAAAAGGTCAAGCAATTCTTACAGAAAAGAATTCAAGAACAAATTCAACAGCGTAATCCAAACGCAACACCTTTTACTTAAAAATAACTTCTTCGGACTTATTTGAAATTCTACATTGTTCTTTGCATTTCTAAATAATGAGTAGAGTTATTGTTCCACAAATAAAGAAATATTACCTAAAGCCAAAAATGAGAAGTAAATTATTTTTCATTTGAAACATTTATTGTTTCCTTTCCACAACATAAAAGTTTACTCAAAAAAAGAAAAAGAAAAGGGGAAAAAAAAAGGAAAACTACCTAAATAGAACATAAAAGTAGTAAAGCCTTGATATATACCCAATATAATAAACTGAAACATTTGATAGGATATTTGACCTGAAACCATAAAAAAGTATTAAAAAAGTCAAAGAAATTAAAAATTCCTTTCACAAATGCTTAGAAGAAGCTTAATAGTATCCTCATTTAAAATATTATGTCTCAGTTACAGATTCTGCATTTTTATCTCATGAAGGACTCGCTATTTTCAAGAGGTTTTGTCATAAATAAGTTTCAAGAAGTTGTAATCATAACAATCGTGTACATGAAAGCGATGTGGCGAACGAATTCATTTTATTCCAGATCAAGATCCATTATTTCAAGATCCATTTCCTTCAGCAAGAAATATTAAATATATTATATATAAAATATATTATATATTAAATATATCTTTTTTGCGCCTAAACATGCTACAACTAATGACGATGCACCTTAAATATTTAAGAAAATGTTTCAAGGCTCACACTGAAAAAACAAAACAGAATGAAAATGAAAGATTATTTTATTCGTGCGAAATACTATGTATAACATCAAAATAAATACTTTAAAAATGTCATCTTACTTGAAACAAAATTTATAAACTTTGTATTTACATTTCAGCAAATTTCTCGTATTAAATACTTATAAAATGTTTCTGTATGCTGTTTTATACAAATAAATCGTTACACATGATAGAAAAGTTCACTTATAAGCATATTAATTTAAGAAAGTAATGTGCTAACACGATTTCAATCCCGATTAGATTTTTCAATTAGGATTTCACAAAAATGTGATTTTCCTGTTTGCGTGGCATAATTTCTCTGAACCTGCTGATTAGAATTTCAAGAAATTTTGCCGAATTTTGTAAGCACTATATCTATAAAAAAATGACAAATTATTATGTGTCTAACTGAGACCTTTTAAAAGTATACTTAAATTTGAAATCGTATGAAAATTTCGAATGTCACTTTTCGTTGTCTCAAATAAAATTATAGTGATTATGTATGTAATATTGTTTAAATATATAATTATGCATACTAACTGATAAATGCATTTGCATCTTCTTATTTATTATTTATATTCAATATATATTAAATCCAATTCCATAAAACTATTTAAGTTGTATTTGCGCTCTCAAATTTAAAAATATATATATATTTTTCGAGAAATCCATTATTCAATTATTTCTAAAATAGGTCATCAGGTTTCTAATTTGGAGAAAAAATTAGGTAAGTACAATGATTTGTTTAGCTATAATGCTGAGCTCAGTGCGTATTACAGTTTTATGTGAATGATGAAGAAGGCACTTTGTTTTATTTGAAATATTTATTATCTAAAACATAAAGGTAAAAAACAGAATATAAAAGGTATTGAAATATGTATACAAAATTTCCTGATCATAACCCACTTAGGTACAATGATATTCAGATTCAGTGTGTTAAAATGTTTTGTATCGTAATCTACTTAGTTACAATGATATTCAGCTTCAATGTATTTAAAATGTTTAGTTATAATGCTGAGCTCAGTACGTATTGCAATTTTATGTCAGTGATGAAGAAGGTACTTTATTTTTATTTTATTTGATATATTTATTATCTTAAACATGAAGTAAAGGTAGAAAATACAATACAAAAGGTATCGAAATACGTATACAAAATTTCCTCATCATAACCCACTTAGTTACAATGATATTCAACTTCAGTGTATTAAAATGCTTGGCATATTTTGACATTTTCAAGGTGCCTGACGAAATATTTTTTGTAAGAAAACTATTCGTCCCCAAATTCAAATATATACTTGTCCTACTACGTTAAAGATTTCGTTGTATTTCTTTCTGAATGGCTAAAACTGCTGTTTCATAATGCACGGGGGTATTTCTCAGAACGAATAAAACTAACATGAAACATTTAGTAACAAAGGGGTTTCCTTTCCCACTGCATGCATCGTAATCATATCACTGTGTATATCATTACTGTTTTTTACTGAACTGGGCATTTTTTATGATCCCATTAGATAAGTACCAGAGTTTTTCAAGTGGAAACTACTTTTATAAATTAGAACTTTCTGAGGACCACCTTATTCTTTCTCTTTTGAAAGCAATCTTTTAAAATATTTTTGCGTGCGTACGGGATCGCAATAGATTGAATGCACGCAGGCCCGATGATAGGTTGATAAAATTTATTTTATCAAAAGAAACATTTCAGAGTTCTGGAATTTTCTACAGAAATACTCGAATAGGTATATCACAGAGTATAATCAGTAGTTACGATTCAGATTACTAATAACATTAAACACAATGCAATGCAAAGCGTTTTTATAGAGAAAGCTAACCTGAAGATATTTCGGTGCTCAGAACTCGCGCTGAACTGAACTACTTCCAACAGCAAGAACAACAACTACTGGGAGCAATATAATTTTTACCTGGCCTTCGAGATATTTCTAGTACTTTCTGATTCTCGAGAACATTGGAAGGCCATATGAGGGTCGAATTAAGGTTATGGCTAATATAGTGTTCAATTACATTTATTCAGTTACAATACTTATTACGATGATACAGGTACCGGACCAAAATGTCGCCAAGTTTGATAACCTTTGGAGATTTCTTGCCAAATTTGGCCACAAAAATTAGTCCTCAAAACCATTACCAGCTTCGCGATATCTTGCCAAATTACCGAGATACCCATTTACTCAATGTTAAACAGACTTGCCCCTGTATTCTTACTTTTCTGGCATAGCTCTCTTCAGATTATTTTTTTTATGTTACACTGCACAGAAAAATACAACAGTTTCACATATAATTGCACTAAAATCATCTATCTGTGTACAATATTCGTAACAATATGGTACTACCAGTATACTTACTTTTTAAAACAGAATTAATATTAATTTAATTTTATACTGGTATTAAATAACTAAATTAGCAGGGAAAATCATATTTGTTTTTAATAATTTAGGGCTATTGTAGTTTGGATAACCTTGACAATTTATTTTATTTATCTGCTTTTTTCTTTTCGCCATCGACGTAACAGCTGTTTCTATAGGTTAAGTGCTGGTCAGCTTGCTGAATCCCGTCGATAAAGAAAAAAAAAAAAAATTGGAGCTTAGTCTCCGGAACTTTACTATGTATAGTGAGGAACTTTAAAAGGAACGGAGGAAGAAGAGAAAGCACATGATCGCTATCGAAGAATTATAAGTTCAGCATACAAATATAATAAGGCCAGAGTGTGGATACAACTATAGACGTATAGTTAAATTACATCAAGAAAAATTTGCAAAATTAAGGAACAAGAATGTAAATGGACATATGCAGTGACTTGAAACAGCTGAAAATTTTACATGGTGTTATACTAGAAACAAAACATTTCAGCGTGACTAGAGGTATTGACTGATTATCACAAGGTCTTGTTTTCTTGCGATAGCGTATGGGAAGCACAGGCTAAAATTTATTTAAATGTGTATTAATTGAAAATTAAATAAATGTTGATACTCATATTGATGAGATAAATGAGCCTGCCGATTCCTGCCGATTCCTGTTCTGTGTTTGGATGTATGCTGGCAAGAAGCAATACAGTTCAGTACATGAAACTCATCTTTAGATGCTAACAGTAGAGTGGGAAGCCTGTAGGTGTGGTAACAGTTAATAAATTTCACAAAATATTAGCCTTAAGGAACAAAAAAAGGAGGAATTGCTATGTGCAATTTCTGAACTGAGATTTTCAGCTATAGTAGGATATATGCAGTTAAAGTGAATTTTATTTGTTGTCTTTTTTGGAAATCTAGAAGGACTATAAGAGCAGGTTTCAAAGACCACAAATTGAAAAGCTATGCGTTAGACTTAACACTTAAATGAAAAAATCTAGAAGCGTACTTCTACAATTTCTTATTTCTAAAAAATGTATTTGCAATTTTCGTGAAGCAATGTTGATAAGGCTAAGAAGGAAACAGATGAAAACAATTGTCTCCACGTGTAATGCAGCATTTAACACGAAATGTAAGGCGTATTTACGCATAAGATGACCCTGAGTTTTTAAAGGCTCCCCTTCCTTCCCCTTCAAAACACAAGTTTGCATTTAAGACAAAGCTTAATCAGGACAGCTTAACACACAGCTCAGGGAGCTTAGCAGAGGATTGGCGAAAATCTCTAAGATAAACAATCGGAACCATACTATCTTTAAAGAATGCTATCAGATTAAAAAGAAGAAAAAAATTCTTAGTATCCAGTTGCTGGAATTTCATTGCAGCTGTAAAATAATACACTAAATATTATTAAAAGAGGTAACTCAAACTGAAAAAGAGTTTATATATTTGGATTTAACAAACTTGTTTGTATAATTATGCAGTTATTGTTAATTATGAAATATAAAATTAAATTCCTACTACATAGTCCCCATTACATGAAAAATGATAATTTATTTTAGTTATGATCTAACGGCTTCTCTCCCCCTCCAAAAAAAAGGCTATATCATATTAGAAGTTCTGAAATCTTAACATTTGTATTCTAGTACGTTACTTAAGAGTTCAAAGTTAAATAGAGGTTCTGAAAGGTTCTTGACTTTCTAAGGTATTTTGTCCCTCTCTGCCGTGTGCCTTCGAGATCTAATTGGAAAGCCCATTGGCTAGCATCGGAAGTTCCGGAATTCTAATCCTGGAGCAAGTATTGCACATTTCTCCTGTTTCCTGACTGCGAAAAATTCTAAATCACTCCAGAAGTATCACTCGAACTGAATGGGTTGGACGTTAATTCTTCACCACCAGATTTTTGTGTCGCTTACTCTCCAATCGGCCTTAAATTGGGCAGAATATAACTTATTTTCTACCTCCATACTACCTGTTGTCGGGATGTAATTGGAAAGTACGTCCGGCTAGCATCAGAAGGTTCGAAGTTGAAATCCATGTGGGAAC